ATGATATCTTCAAACATATATTTTATTCAAAAATAAAAACATCATCGCTTTCTCAAAATCACATAAAGTCATATTATAACATTGATTGAGATAAAAAATAAAATGAAATATTAAAATCACGATGTATCTCGCTGCATTGCGCGAGTACGCTTCTAGTATATATATATATATATATATATATGGACTCATTCAAGGGAGAACTGATTAGTTTGTGGTAACTGTGAGAATTAATGTGAGCCACAAATCAACGGATAAATAAGGAAATTAGTAATTATGGTATTTTAAGTTAAAATTATAATTARAGGGCATTTTAGGTATTTTTAAAAAACTCCTCTCTCCGACCTCCAATCTCCGGCCTCCGTCCTCCGTCCAACATTATTCCGGTAGGTACCAATTAATCACAAAGATACACTATGTGATACCCATTGTGATATACTGTGATACCATTGTGATACCAACTCAAACCATAAAAACATGTGATACACCTTGATAAAACAAGGAAAAATAATGAAACTGAATATTGTGATACACTGTGATACACTATGTTACACTGTGATCATACTCTCAACAAAATCCACAGTAATGGTGCCTAATGCARTGGAGCATCCTTCCTCAATTCAGAAAGATCTTAGGATGAACTGCTACTATTTCTCCAAAATCAACGAACCTTTAAACAAAGAAGGAACCATTAGTCAGGAAGACATAAGTGATCCTGAACCGATTCAGCCAAACATTCATGAATCCTTGACAATAGGAGACATACCCTTGACAGGGGGAGACATAACACACCTGTTTGTTCCTAAAATATTGTCTCTCCTCCGGTACCTAATATTGAAGCTAGTGACTTGGATCGGCGTAATCATCTTCGATGCCGGAGATTGCTTTCATGAAGGAGTTGCAGTCGGCTCAAGCACCTGTTTCTGTCCAGTGGGAATCTGCTGGGTCTGCCAGAATCAATATAGYGCCTCGTGAACTATCTRCCCCTGTGATGAATGGTCCTCTATCTTCTAGTGTTGATGGAATCGGATCCAACATGACAAGTTATGAAAGCAATACCTTGTTCAATCTCCAGCGGGAGTGAGAGGGCGGCGTTACAAATCGTCGACCGGCTTGATGAAGAAGAAGAAGCAGCAATAGAAAAAGAGGGTTAGTCGATGAAAGAAGGAAGAACAAGAGGGTTAGGGTTTTATGATTATAAACATTACCAATTTACCCTTTATGTTATTTTAGGATATAACATTAATTATTTAAATGATTGACTCACATTGGTTCTCACAGTTACCACAAACTAATCAGTTCTCATTTGATTAGACCTATATATATATATATATATATATATATAACAATGTGATGTATCACAATTAAGTTAACGCATCCAATTGAGGCGAGTTTGATCATTTAAATGAACACATAAAATATGTTATCTATGTTTTATAATTTTGTTTAAAAATTATTAGTTTATCATAAAAGAAAGTTACATCTTCCATATAAGCACACCATAATCATCTATGAGTGGTTTTTTCGAACTCTGTCTCTTACATATTAGAAGTCTCGAAAATTCAAATAGATATTCAGGAAATTATGATATAAATATAAAAGATATGAAATTTATTTATAATTTTGTATTTGATGTTTATCAACTTTTGGTTTAATATCAACAAGATATAGTAACAATTTAACATAAAATGAAATTAGTTTGATGAATAATGTTAATGATGCTGAACATTAATTATCTTATATATATATATATATATATATATATATAATTAATTTACAAAATTTATAGAATTTAAAAAAACAAGATAGGTTTGTTGTACAATAAATTTGTTGTAGTGTGGGTAGCTTACTAAATTTAGCAAGTTTGAAAACCAAAGCCTACAACCCCCCACTGATTTTCTATTTTTTGATAAGAGTTCACGTTGGGTACGCCTTTTTTTGGCTTTTAAGCTGCTAGACTCTTCTTCTTGTCATTATGTGCATTTAACATCTCTTTTTCATTTCTGGATAATTTATAACTAAAACATCATACACATATTTAATAACAAATATTGTCATATAAATACCATTTTAAGTAACAAAAAACACTATCAATGGTATTATTTACGTTGAATTCAATTAAGATTTTTTAAGGCTTAGGTGTGTGTGATATTATACTGTTTTCATGAGATACACAAGATCACAATATAACACTGAAACTTCATAACAAAACTAGTTGTGTACCCGCGCAATACGACAAGATTTTAAATTTTCTAATAAGCCTACAACTAAAAATGAGTGCAACTATTTATTAAAAAGTACAAAATTCACCTTGAGGGACGGGAAAAAAACATAGA